AAAAACAAAGATGGATAGTGGCTAACAGTGAGGTCCAGGATGCGCGTTTCGTCTTATTTTGCACTCGTCAGTTGGATGTACCTGCATCTCAGACAGTTGATATTCACTCCAGGACTCGAACCCAGTACCATTCACCCCAAACACCATCGCGTTATCTAAGTTATCCGAGTGAATTAAGGCAATATCAATAAAATACGCACAGTATGCACATATGCCAATAACAGACTGATCAATTACAGACTTAAACCTCAACAAAAAGATTCAAACAAAAACAGTATCAAATGAAAAACCATTTTGTACATATTTCAAATGTCCCAGCAACAACAACAACAACAGAAAATATTTACATATTTTTTTTCAATTATCATCAACAAAATGAAACTGTAGACTTTTTATTGATGTTTTTTTAAAATTATGAATATTACAATAGACAGATAGAGAGAAATTATTAATTCGTAAATTTAACGGTTACTTTGTTGAAAAAAAGTTTTTTTTTCCAATTTTTGTTTTGATTTTCATTATTGACCAACTGTTATGTCATTCAAATGAAAACTTATTGTCCCTTTATATCCTTCAATGGTATATTATTATTGTTATTGTGGTGGTGGTGGTGGGCGGCCTATGCTCCTCCACGAGGAGTAACAGAAGTAAGTAAGTAATTATTATTCTTAATTATCCAACTATATATATATATATATGGTTGACATGTATACATCAATCCACCCCCCTCTTATTCTAGAGATTAAATAGCAATATAACTGTTACACTAGAAAAGATGTATTATGTAATTAATAAATTTATCATATTTCAATTTCTATGATGGTGATGAAGAAGAATTAGAAAACTGGAAAAAAACAAAAAAAGAATCATCTCTTGATACAATGTCTATCTTATTTTGCATTGTAATGAACTATTATATTGATAACTGATCAATTAACTGAATATACAAGGAATCAGGATATAAGAAAAGGAAAACGACATGAGAAACTAAATAGAGAATATTTGCAAAATAATCACAGAGAAAAAAAATCATACATCTTTATATGAATCTAAGATAATTATTTGTTTGTTTGAATGATTGACACTTTTTTCATTATATTTCCATATTCTCTCTCTCTGTATATATATATATATATATATATATATATATATATATATATATATATAAGCACCGTTAAGTTAGAATGAGATGACTTGTGGTGGTCGGTATTCAATCTTCATAAACACTTAGTCCTAAAACCATTATTAGATAATGTTGCAAACGTTGTATAAATCAACACAGACACCAACCTCACTGATTTTACTGGTTTATGAAATCAGTTTGTAAGAAGAGATTCCGGACAGTAGACTCGTAAATATCTGCCAATACAATATCTTTCTCGGAAGGATATGCCCACTTGGAATGGTATTGACAACCAAAAGTTTACTAAGACTAGAAGTCAGACCCTTCTCATATCGCCTGGATGCTCCTCATTAACAGGCAGTGTTGTATGGGAGGATTGAGAGATGTGATTATAGTCTATCCCATTTATTATGGCTCTGTCCACCTAACAGACGACTCATAAGCTTCTGTAAAGAACCCACAACTGATATGGTGTCCACTTCGGATGGAACGTAAACGCACTGGCACTAAAATGTTTGCGAACATCTTCGTAGATTTAACTAATAGGGTATGGGACTGCTTACCAGAAGTTTTAGTCATGGAACCCTCAGCTAAATGTTTCAAAAGAAAGCTAAGTGGTGTGTGCTACTGATGTCGATGGATATAAGTAGTATGTATCATCAATAGAATGTGACATGCTTGGAGATAGAAGGTTAAGAAGGCCTAGTGACTGGTGTGGAAATGAAGGAACATAAATTCTGTGACGACTGATTGACATTTGCGAAAGAATTACTTACTTTACGGTCATTAGATTTTACTAAGATATTCTGTAATTTTGTATTCAGTTTCAGTTTGGAAAGAACAGGAGGCTTGACAACCTGCGTTAGTCCCGGCAGTGATGGTCTCTAAGTTGATCCAACTTTCTTTTAAAAACGTCAGGTGTAAATTTATCACTAAGCAATTTGAAAACTGTAATCAAGTCACTTCTAGTTCTTCGATGTGACAACGGTAATAGGTTTAACGTGGCCAATCGGGAATCATACGGGAGCTTCACCATTCCGGGATTTAGTCTAATTGCTATTCCCTGAATTTTTTCCAAAAGCCTACTGTCTTGTTCGAGGCGGGGGCTAGCCGCTTGTATGCAGTATCAAGTTTAGGACGCACGAACACTGTATGCGAAGTCAAAAGGTTTGAGCACCGACGTGACTAAAAGCCCTACGTATTGACCACATAGTTCTAAGACTTTTGGCGGCTATTGCAGGGAAGTGTGCAGTAAACTTTAGGTCTTGACTAACGATGACTCCTAAGCCATTGTGTGTATGTACAACAGGTAGCTCAGTGTTATTCATCGTGTATGTATCTGTACCTTGATAACCGATATGCATCACAATACACTTGGAAGTATTAATCGGCAACCGCCGAGTTTGAGACCATTCGGATAATTTCTTCATTTTGACGTTCTAAGCTATCACCTTCACCTCTTATCGCTCTCCATATCGTGATATCGTCAGCATATAGCAAGACCGATGATGATAGGAGACGAGGAAGCTCATTCACACTCAAGAGGAATAACACTGGCCCATAACTATACCCTGAGGCAATCTGCTAAGTACAGTTTCCCAGCTAGACAACTTGGTGTTCACCCGTACTTTCTGTTGGCACCTAACTAGGAAGTCTTTTATCCACATTAATAGATTTCCCACAACCTTGACATTTCTTAACTTATATAACAGTCGGTTGTGAGCAACTTTTTCAAAAGCTTTGCTGAAGTCAATTTAGGCTTCGTCTATCGGTAACTTTTGGTATTTAGGAGTGCACCAGCTTTCATGATCCACAAATAAGTTAGGGAGACAGGAATAACCTATTCTAAAACCATTCTGTTTTTCCGAAAAGATCCGGTTTTGCTCGAGATGTTTAAACAGCTTCTTCCAAATAATCTTTTCTAAACTTTTGACAACCACGCTGGTTATATTAACGGGTCGGTAGTTCTCAGGCTTATATTTCGTACTTGTTTTGAAGACGGGACATCCTATGGCGTTCTTCCAGTCTTTTGGTAATCGACCTTGGGTTGCGTATGGATTAAAACACATTTAAAAGGTTCGCAATGAAGTTAGCTAGCAACCTAGATTTCATTTCATCGGGTCCCGTAAATTCGCCTATATCAAGCTTATTTTGCAGATTAAAGACACCGAGTTCTTGAATGGTCACGCTGTCCAGTGTGTGTGAGTGAGGATTTTTGTGAACTGACAGGAAGGGTGTTTCTATGGTATATGCATTGCTAAAGTAGTTTGAGAATACTTGAGCTTTACCAAAGTCGTCCTCCACTAATGATGAGGCAGTACTGTCTCATCAAATTACAGGGATATTTCCTCTTCTTTTTGTCCTTTGGTTTATATACGAATACAAGCGTCTAGGATATCCTATGGATTCCTTGATAGTTTTCTCTTCGTACAAACTTCTAAACTTGCGGGGTGGTCGAGGCATAGGTATCCAGAGTTTTCGATAATGAGATTTTGTCTCATCAGTCCCCAGTAACCTAAATCTATCAAAAAGTTTTCTTCTCTTACGGAGAAGGATGCGAACCTCCCAACTGAACCATGGTGGAGAGTTCCTCCGTCTCCTCGATGCAGTCCAAGGGATGTGAGGTGCGGTAACTTTTAAGTATAAATTTCGAAATGCGTCTCAAGCCGTTTCATTTGAGAACCCAGGGCCTATTTTCCAATCTTTTAACGATGCTGAGTGCATGGTGTCTGATATGTTTGCTTTCCAGACGTTAGGCCTGGATTGAGCTAACGTGTTCTCGTGACTGACAGTTTTATGGAAATCGAAAGTTAAAACTGCCTGATCACTTTTACGTAGATGGGGGCTTGTAATCGAGGTTCGCAACGTCATCCTCATAGTGAGTCAATATAAGATCGAGTAAGGATGATTCAGAGTCCGGGTCGTACCTAAGCGCTTCTTTCACATGTTGCACTAGGGCACATGTGATAAACGCATCAACTAGCTCCTGCTCGAAGGAATCGTCTGACAATTCAGTTCGCAGATTTTACCAGTCTACCATGGATGCACTAATGTCCCTTAGGATTAGACATCGACCACTTTGTGACCAAGTATTCAGACTGCTTAGCAAGACCTCATTTACCTCAGAGCTTGAAATGCGATAGACCAAACCAATCAGCAGTTGTTGTCTTTTGCATTTCAAGCGGAAACTAACTAATTCACACGTCCCACTCTCATGAGACACACTGTCGATAATGGCAAATGGAATAGCATTCCTAATGAATAGAGCTACCCACCTCCTTTATGCTTCTGTATTCTGTCGGCTCTTACTAAAGTAAAACCCCGGAAATTAAGTTTCATACTATCTGTAGGCAGCGTTAGCCAAGTTTCTGTTACTGCGATAATATCAAGTTTTGTAGAGTAAATCGGTACAAGTACATTTGATTGTTCCCACTTGGTTCTACTGGTACTGAGAGTTATAGCATTTGGATTTCACTGACGACTGAATTGGTTCATTAAACATACAGACATTCATGACGAACCCTAGTATATTACTGGGGGCATCTAAACATTCTTTCATATTAATTTATTAATTAACTTAGTAGTTCTGTTAGTTTCTTGCACCTAGGACCTTATCTAAAGGTACAAGGAATCCACTGATATTAGGCGAACGTTCTATTTAAGTGGAAAATTTTTCTGTTTCTTCCACAATCATTCAAACCATTCTAACTCTATCACTTCTGTTATAAACCAATTCGTTTTAGCCTTTATTTTCTAGGAGGAATATAACAAGAATCATACCTTTGTGTATCCAGGAGTGATAAATACTATCCCGAATCAGAGTGAGAAGGAAGAAGTTTTTAATTCTACCTTACAAGGTTTTCGTTTTGAAACGTTACAAAGGGTTACTAAGAAGTGGCAACTCTAACTTGGTCGGTACTTTCGAAGGTCACGAAGATGTCCGATCAAGCGTTGACTCGTTCTGGAGTCCCATTTACTAATACAGTACATGAAGATCCTTTGGTGTATGAAATTAATCATTCTAAAGAAATTATTCCGTGCATCTCTCAGCTCTATCGAAATGAAGCATTTAGTGATGTTATTCTAGTTGTTCAAAATACTCGTTTCCCTGCTCACAGAGCTATATTGGCAGCTCGCTCTGAGTACTTTAGAGCATTGTTCTATGGAGGACTTGCCGAGTCGTCTTCACCTGTGGTCTATCTAAACGATATAAACGTGGTTGCCTTCAAAAACATCCTACAGTACATTTATACCGGTCAGATGAAATTAACAAAACCTAAGGTTTGTTTATTCCTCTTATTTTGCTAACTTAAAGCAGCTAAGCTACTTTACTTAGCCTTTTTCTTCTCGGAACTTTCGAGCTTTCCGTTTGAATGTGATAAGGTTTATGTTTCGGGTTATATATATTCATGCATACTTTTATTCTGACCGAAATACTTGGTAATCTATAGGTTAGATATAAGTAATCCGATAAAATCAAACAGCTGAATAATAGTTTGTTTCTTTGTTGTTTGGTAATCGTGCGAAACACGTTTACTCAACCATGAGGTAATACATGCTAATGTACCTTGTTCACTTTGAGTATCATCAGAGTTAAGGATATTAATTTTTTAGATTTGCGAGGCATAGTAAAATGTTTTTACGTCTATTGTACACACTTAAATATCATGTATTCGGGTTAAAAATAAACTAGTCGCTTTTCAAATGAAATGAATATTTTAAGGAGTCATACTGGTGAGACTGTAATTTATGGTTGACTATTGATCGACGCTAAAGTGATCTTGAGGATGTTCACCTACTGATTGGCACTAAATGAGGGTTGTAAACCAGTGCGAGGAGTTGGAATTATGACACACAGTTAATGGTTACGGTTGGGAATTAGATTTAGTACTTTCATCACGAACTGACACCAGTTGAAATGCCAAAACGCTATTTAGCCAAATTGATGAGTGAATTTTGTGCCAAAATTCGAAACCTGTTTTATATTTAGTTCGCCCATAAATTATAGTCTCCCAAAGCTTGAAATCCAATTAAAGCTTGTTTGCTTTGCGTATTTTAATTAATATGTTTATGTTCCATCTGAGCATAATCTATCAGTCGACGTACAACCTGGTACAAATGTAAATCGGTTCAAGTTGCCATACCTCGTTGGCACCGAGATGAAATTGTTTGGTCAGATTCCCTAATGGCAAGAGTAGCAACAGTATCAGTGGTAATACGGAAGGTTAGGCATCGGAGATGCGATTCGTGAAAGGAATGTAAATTGGTGAAATCAAAGCAGAAAAGTTTTAAGGGATTTAGAATCTCAAAACTTGGGGAGAAGACAAAGAACAGATGCACTTGGGCTGTTGCAGATGATTTTAAGCCATGTCGTTCGAAGTCTGTAACTATTGGTTATAATAATCACGCGGACCCCAACCAGGTAGTCTGCACCTACTAAAATTGCTAAGTCTGATTGACTTCATGGACTGATGCCATTTTTGGTTCGATTACCCCTAGCGTTCTACCAGCCTACTTCTACTCCAGAAAACCGCCTGTCAAGGTAGGCGTTTGTTAGGCATAGCTAACACATGTCCTAATCACTTCTGTTGATGGTTCGCTACCTCGTCATCCCTACCTGGCACTTTATCCCTAATCTAGGCGTTGGTTACTAGGCGGTCCTAAAATACACGAGCATTGTTACGAAGTAGATCGAAGCGGACTGATAAGCAATGAACTCCTTTGGTTGGAAGAAATATCTCGCTTGCGTCAGAACATAATTTAGAATTTTGTTGAGATAACTCATATTTGTTTCAATACTTGATTAATATGCTTTTCATTCAATATCCAACATCAAAAAAGATTTTGTAATTATGGATAAGTAAGTCATTGTGGCTACATACAAACTAAGAGTGATTGATATCAGTCTTCAGTTATTCATACAGGTGGCCTTTTTACTATTTTCTATTACTTACTAGCACTTCATTTCATTTTAGATATGCGTAACACTAAATTTTCTTTTACACATTCAGCTTACCCTTAGTATCCTGTGTCTCGCTCATCAATATAATTTTCGTAGCTTGGAAACTGTTATATCTACCTACTTAACACATTCTCTTTCTGTGAAGAATGTATGGTGTATCTATGATATGGCTGTAATGTATAACCTGGATGATCTCATAACGGCTTGCCTACGGTTTTTAGACTGCCTTGCACCTGCTCCTTTATACAATCCACGATTCCTTAGGCTATCACAGGTCAGTTTATTGGGTCTGTGCATACATGTGTCCTTATACATTGTTTATACATTTTTCGTGCTTGTCTTACCAGTTTCTTTTTAATGTGATGAATTTATGACTTGTCGGAAGAATTTATGTAGATGGGTACTGCTCAAAGCCATAAAGTGTTCAACCTTTACTAGTTCAAAATGTTTTTTGTCACAATATTTAAGAATAAACCTCAACTATGTAACTAATCAACATCGATACCAATTAAGTTAACGTGTTGATCTATCACAATCAATCATGGATTTATTTCTTGCAGCCCTAACCTTAGGAAATAGACGGTCAGCAGTGCTTTCCTAATTATGAAAATATTTTGCCCAATTAGAAAATAACGACTATATGCAAGTTTTTTTAAAACATTTTCCACGTTTTATCCACAATTTGTAAAATTCCTTGTTCTTTACTTGATATAACCTACGTAAAATCTACACGTTACCATATCATTATTAATCCTCTGGTTACTCTGTATCTACCACACATCGGATTTGTTGCACGAATTTGATTTGACCACCTATTCAAACCTTACAGATTTTCAAAGGATATTATTGTGCATAGACAACCCACTATTGATAATGAGGATATTCATCTAGTGTTTCCTATTGAGAGAGGGTAAATAGTTATTAATTTTGGTCGCTTAAATTGTTCATTTTCATCAATCGTCTGACAAAGTCTGTACATTTCAGTTAAATGCCCCAAAAGTGTGTGAATTGACCAGTTTTGCTTATCAAAAAAATCTTAACTGTTTTGTTAGCCTGAACTTTAGTAATGTGTACACAGACTGCTACACTCAGTCCTGTATTTTATTTTGCCAAGGCCTTTTCCCTTGTGTTTTTTTCATAGTGTTCCTCCCCTATGGACTTATAATTCTTACTTACTAATCTAATATATATATATATATATATATATATATATATATATATATATATATATATATATATATATATATATATATATATACTTCCATATCTGAATTATTTTGCAGTAGCACATATACGTTCTATTTTCAATACTATATTGTTCATGAAGTGTTATCACCACTATACCCAATGGTATAACGGCTTAAATTTACGTTTTCAGGCAAGAGATATTGTATTCCGAATTTCTCGGTACTTCATGGAAATGATGCCATGAGCGATTCACAGACTTACATTGATTAATAAAATTCAGCCATGGTATTTATTTTAATTACGGTTCACTATTCATACATGAATACAATAATTTCCTTCTATCTCAGTATTACACATACCAGAAACTGGTTTGATATATTCACATTTAAATTCTAAAGCTTTCATGTAACTCAATGACCGCGTTTGAGTTCATGTGAAGTGTCTTGTGCTGTGAGTTACTTGTTCAGATTCATAGTAGCTGAAGTGGAGTTCGAGGTTGCAACCCCATTGATCAAATGTCTCAATCAATAAGCCATCACTTCTATTTTATATTGACTTAGAATGAGCTAAATTATATCGCTTGCTATTATTTCAGTCATCTGTCGAACGTTTACTATCTCGTGATAGTTTCTGTGCATCTGAAATTGAAATATTTCGTGCTGTATGTTCATGGTTACAAAATTCTAAAGAATCCAACTGTCGAACATCGCAAACCTTACATTTATCAAATACCCCTGTAATAACTGCTGATAATAATGGTAATAACGATAGTAATAATATGGCTGAACAAACTAGTTTATCAACTGAAAAGAAAGAACCAAACATCAGTTGCTTAGCTGAAGACAATACCAAAACAATATCATCGTTGAGTTCGCCATCGCACATGGAAAAATCACCATCGATTACAGGTAAGCCTATTGCACTTGTTAACCTTGTCTGTTATTCAGATTAATTTGCCCTCTGAATAGAAATTTTGATTGGCAAGGTTTTCAATATCAGTCGTTATTAACAGTGAAGGTTTCTACAAAAGGGTGTAGATCTTTACCAACATTTAGTTATTAGAGCGAACCTAATGAAAGACATTGATTTGGGTTTTGTGTTATGTTAACATCGTTTGAAATGTATCCAAAACATCCAAGACAATGAATGGTATTCCAAGGATCTTCAAGTCTCCATCACTAAATACTGCAGTAACAAATGGTTTAATTGGGCATTTCAAGTACTATCTAATCTACTACGTAATTGAATTTGTTACAATGATCAGTTAATAGATTGTAGATGATCCCATGTTATATATCGCTTGAGGTGATTGCCCAGTGGTTAAAGCACCTGTAATTCAACAAGTAATCCCTAGGTCCGAACCCGATTGCTTACTTTAGTCTAGGTAGCTGAGTAGTATCTCTAGCCTCAACGCATTGTGTGGCTCAAAGCGAAGCACACCAACCTGTGCTTTATAAATAAGGCACATCACTTTTTATTATTTCATTATTATTGCCAGATAACAGTTTTTCTTTACATACCAAGATTTCGTCAGTCACTGGATGTAATGGGATTCAAGACAAGTGACGCGTTTCGGTAATACATTTATTATTAAATTTTAATAATAAGTAAAGCCATTTTCGCAGCAAACGGGTACTAATGATTGTTGAAATTGTGTGATACCATACATCCATTCTGGTGGTCAGGTCAGTTACGAAGTACATGCCCCACCCTAGATATGAGACCCGACCTCCTCTGAGTTCATATTAGGAAAATAAATTTCCATGCAGAGTAAAAAGGTTCCGCCTACTCTCTGCTGGTATTGTGGGGCGTAAAGTTTATTGTCATTTTCATGTCCTGGTCTAGGTAGGTCAGAGGTTGCGTTATTATGTCTGCGAATGGCCTCATTAGTTCTCAAGGGAAGAGAAAGGACGCTTTACCTAGAATTGTACATCCAATTCATTCTTAGTTCTACTAACTATAAAAGGTACATGAATAAATATAAGAATAACGGAACCACAATACTCATGGAGTGAGAAAAAAATACGATTATGTCCAAACTAGGACATCAGAGTAATAAAAGGGAATACAAGAGTCACGTTTGAATTACAGTAACTTTGTAATAGAAAAGAATGTAACAGTAATTTATAAGAAAGCCTGTGATTCGGGAAGATTTTGGAGGAAGAACAAGTACCACCGACGGGCTGGAAAGAAGGATACCTCATCAAGATACCAACGAAAGGAGATCTGAGCAAGTGTGAGGACGTAAAAGTTTTTTCAAATAATTTTGTTCTCAAGATACTCAATGTCCGTTTACTGAATGACATCAGCAACAACTTACTGTGTCCGAGAACAAGTTAGCTTCCAAGTGAGGAGAAAATTAGGAAACGCTGGAGATGAGTAGAACATACATTGAGAAAATCATGAAACTGCATTACAAGTCAATTCCTAACTTGGAATTATGAAGAGCAAATGAAAAGAGGTAAACCAAAGAACATACTTCACTGAGAATTGGAAGCAGACATGAAAAGAATGAATAGCAACTGGAAAGGATTACCCAAGACATAGTTGGATGGAGGATGTTGGTGGATGGTCTATGCTCCTCCACGAGGGTTAACAGGTGTATGTAAGCAGGTTATGGTTCGTGGAATACTATAGACACTAAACTGAACGCTTGCACTTTTCAGAGCTTAAATTTAGCGACACAATGTTCCAAGAAATATCTGTCGTTCTTTGTTATTGCTTCTCCATTCCTCTCCACGTCAATGCCAAATTGCTATTCAGTGCCGTAACGTGAATTAATTGGAAATCTTTATAAAAAAGATTCAATTTTGTAATTAGTGGCGAAAGGAAAACGTAGCAATTCTGTGAACAAACTGAGTTTTAATTGACCGAGGCACTTATATACAATTTGTTGATTCGTTCTTATCGATCGTTGTTTTTTTAAGTTTCCGGTGTCTCAGACTAAAATACTTGTAAATAGAAGGATTTTTACTATTAAATTCTCACCGCTTTTGCTTTATTCTTATTATTGTTATTCTCACTTTTTTATTTTATGATCAAGATGCTGAAAACGACGAACAGTCATCAGCAAACGATTGTATGACTACTACTTCAGAGAAGTCTCGTTGTACTCATATGATGCATCAATGTGTTCGTTTCGAGTTGATGTCACTTACTGAATTATTAACTGAGGTACGTTCATCAAAACTTGTTAGCTCAGAAGAACTATTGGATGCAATTAACCGACAAACTAATTGTCCTACTGAAATGCCTCATCGTGGATGGCTATGTAAGTTAGTATGTTGCTTATTCTTGTTAGTGTTATCATCATGTGTTTATTTTCATCATAAATAATGTGTATTATGAATCCATACACTTCACTAATATAAAAACTATTTGTTGATCACTTATATTCGTATTTTTATGTGAGTACATTTTGGGGATTGCGTTGATAATGATGTATAATGTAAGAAAGCTACACGCTGCCTAACCAAGATTTGGAATCAGTTGATGAGGTCGACCGTTGAAATAGGGAATGTAGGTAGGGTGCAGACTACCTGATTCAACCCAAATAGTTATCATAACGAAATGGCTGGATACATAATATGGCTCTGATTATGTCGGATGTATCCATTCTTTGTCTTTCCTTAGATCACGAGCTTTAAAACTAGCTTATACTTTTTTGTTCTACAAATTCATTAATTTTTCTTGAATCATACTTCCTATGCTCAATCTTCTCTACCACAACTGATAATATTAATACTTCTACTACTCTGGCATTTGTTTTGATAACTTCATTTGTTGCGGTAAGACATGGCAAATTGAATTTATACATATATATGATATGTTCTACGCTGCTTATGACTGAGTAAATAGCAGCTTTCAGTAGACCATATATTATCATTGTACATTGTAATTTACCGATCAGCCTTCTGTATGATCATTTGAACAAATCGATTGTGTTCATTACAAATCTGAAAACTATCTTTCATAAAAATTATGTTAGCTTTTTCCGTTCCGATTGATGTAGTTGATGGAAGCCAGTAGAAAAATCCCTTCACATTATCTGTAAATAAGTCAGTCAGTCAGCTACAACGTAGGACCAGGCACATATATGCATCGGTCCAAGTTGCCATACCTCATTGACACAACAAGATGAACACCGGTTTCATAGGAGTAGTTAATTCAGAGGTGGTAATATATAAAAGAAAGTAAATAAAACAAAAATGATTAACTTAAATTTGTAATCTAATTTGTAAATGATTGTTTGAGTCTTTTAGAAAGACAACTAACTAAATACTTATTATACTTTTAGAAGAATATTTAGTGTTTAAACTTGAATACACGAAATAAAAAACAATATTTGACATATTACTGAAAAGTTGAGGGTAGTAGCCAGCAGTAAAATCAAGAATGTATGTTCCGTCAGCTGGACGTAACTATACTTTAGTGTTGATGTACCTATCGGGACTCACTTCATACTCGCAACACATCTATAGAGATTTGAATCACACTTCTGTTTCTCAGTTAAAAACAGTCGGTAAATGAGAGATTGGACGCAGCTTAGAGAGGCTAGTAGTAGCGTCTATTACTGCAGCATTATGTGATCCACGTTTGAATTCTTCATAGAGCATCAGTTCCCTCAAGATTCTAGATGCCCCATGTTGACTATTAGTGTTATCTAACACGAAAGCCAGGTTCAAATCTTACTGCATCTTACTACCCGAAATGAAACATAAAATATTTTGATATTAGATCACTTAGACTGGTCGGCAGCCTATGCTCCATTAGGAGTAACAGGCGTAAGTAAGTAAGTAAGACTGGTAATTACATCAAAACTCTGTCAATAGGATTCTATCAGTAACAAGAATTAGACAAAGATTGCTTCTCATTGATCACTTAGTATAAATAGAAATTCAAAGGCAATTGTCAGTCGGTTGATATGTCCGGTTGTTTCAAGAGGTTCAATACTCTTCAAACCAATTTAAACATATGCTTTATTTCTTACTAATATACTTGATGATGTATAAATTCTATGAATGTCTTAATATTGCTTTGTTTTGCCATCAATGTCTTCCAATGTTTAAAAAAGATTTGTATTACTTTCAAATTATAGTACCAGGTGTTAACTTAGCATCTCCTCGTTTCGGTTGTTCATTAATTGCTGGTGAAAATGGAACATATCCACATTTTTTTGTTGAACATTCTCTTGATTCGGATGAATTGAATGTAAATAAATTGGATATTGAATCTTTGAAGATAAGTGAGGATGTTAGTTCCAATATAGACTATTCCGAGAGAAATGTTATTCCCGGTGATGCTAACGATGACAGTGACATTATTGAAGATGATGATACAGACGAAGAACAGGACGAGATTCACTGTAGATCTCATCATTTCCAACAACAAAATAATGATCAAACTCAGACACCAACTATGGACATGATGTCTGATATCTCAGGTATTCTACTTACATTTTCGCGCATTAATAGTTGAGATTTTTTATTATAATGGTAGTAACAATACTGGTAGTAATGACAATAATAATTGGTGTCTAACATTTTTCAAACGCTGCTGAAAATTCCTTTTATTTATCTTTATTCATGATTACTTCTTCTGCTACGTTCCTTCTTTGTGATTGAACTATTATTGCTCTTTTAACCAGTAGATCACAATCCCTAACCCTATTCCATCTCGTTTAGGGCAGCTAGGTAATATTGTGGTTCATGCTATTTACATGGACAGATATAAGTGTGTATCGGGCATGATAAGTAGAAGAGGAAAATGACGAGAAGAGAGAAAGCTGAAATCAACCAAAGTAACAAGAGGAATGAAAGAACGATGAGGATTGTGAGAGACATTTCAAAGATGTGCAGATGAGTTATTTAATGTATCATTTTCATATTCTACCAAGCCTTTTTGTGATTTTTCACTAAATTATGAATTGGTTTTCCCCACCAAGTCTTCATTTACTATAATATTATTAGTCCTCATGACCATCATATCTTCAGATCACCACCTATCTTGTGGTTGCCAAGATGAAATTGAAGATAAAGAAGTAATAGACAACTGGATCAACAGCATTTATAAGTTTCAATACCGCCTTCCTTCGACGTACTTACAAACCCGAAAAATTTAAGATAGCTCTTAACAACAGGTTTCAAGAACTACAATATCCATTCAAAGAAGATAAAACAACTATGGAGGACAATTGGAGAGGGATCGAAGAAGCACTAACGTGAACGTATCAGGAGGTCCTAGGCCTCAAGTACCATCATCATAAGGAATGGATTTCTATTGAAACCCTGAATAATATAGAGAATGGAAGAACAAGACAGCAATTAACAACAGCTGCAAAAGAACAGAAAAAGTCAAGGCACAAGTTGAATCTACTGAAGCAAACAAGCAAATGAGGAAGAGAATTTGAGCTGACAGGCAGAATTACGTGGAAGACCTAGCAACGATAGCGCAAAAAGGTGCAACAGAACAAGACATGAAACAACTGCATGACAATGAGGGAACTAGTGGGGAAATATAGTGAACCAGGGAGGCCGTTCAAAGACACAGAAGGCGAGCATATCATTGAGGTTTGAGAACAGAGGAACAGATGGTTAGACTACTTTGGGGAACTCTTGAATAGACCATCACCATTGAATCCACTGGAGATCGATACAGCACCTACAGACATTCCTATAGATGTCGCTCCACAAACAATTGAAGGAATTGGATGGACACCAGACAGATCAAGAGTGGAAAAGCGGTAGGACCTGACAATATACCAGCCGAAGCACTAAAGTCAGACTTAAAGACAACTGCAACATGCTCCGCATTCTATTCAGGATGTTTCGGGAGGAAGAACAAGTACCGATAGATTGGGAAGAAAGATAACAAGGAAAGGAGATATGAGCAATTGTAAGAACCACAGGAGCATCACAGTACTAACAGTACCGGGAAATTTTTTCAACAGAGTGCTGTTGAACTTAATGGAACATTTGGTAAACGCCCAACTCCGAGATCAACAGACAGGATTACGTGAGAATCGATTGTATATCGCCCAAACCGCGACACTACGGATCATTATTGAGAAATCAATTGAATGCAACTCGTCACCATACATCAACTTCATTTACTATGAGAAAGCGTTTGACAGTGTGGATAGGAGAACTTTACGAAACCTCCTTCGACGCAATTGAGTGAGTAGCTGATTAGATCGCCAACATCATACGAAATGTATACGACGGAGTACACTGCAAAGTCATACATGGAGGACATCTGACAGATGCATTGCAAGTGTGAGCCGGTGTCATGCAACGTTGCTTACTCTCATCTTTTCTCTTCTTGTGGTTGACTGGATTATGAAGACCTCGAGATTTGAGGATGAAGACCACTAGTGTAGCAGCAATCTCTACATCAGTAGGCCTCAACATACACAATTGAAAAATCAACACTGTCAGATACAACGTCATAAAGATTAGTACTACTTATCTACTTAAGCCCATTACCCCTTCGTGAGGCATAGGCCGCCCACCAGGAATCTCCGAGAATTTCTGTCTTAGGCTATCCTTTTCTCCTGTTCCTTGGTATTCATGGTCTTGCTTTCTTCCTCGATATGTAAAGGTTTCCACTTCTTTTAGAGTTTTGCCATCAGCGGTGATTTGGGTTGCTGTTCATTGTGTCGTATTTCCGGTACTTGCTTATTCCTTGCAAATATTGAGGCTTTTTTGGGATGTATAGTTCTTCATAATACAGTTAGCAGATAGCAGAAAAAAGTAGGTGATAGTTGACAACCTTGTCTGACGTTAGACCTCATTTGGAATAAGTCTGTGAGTTGCCCCTTATTCATGATTTTAAAATCCCGTCCGTCGTAGGAGTTAGTGACGATATCTTCAGATACTCCACAATGTCGAAGAACATTCCACTAAGTTTTCCTATCCATGCTGTCTGATTCTTTCTCATGATTTTACGAAAGTCATCCAAATAATTTAAAGAGTATTACAGTCATTCTAGAGGAAAAACCAATTACTATTGATATACAGTTGATGAACCGGTCATTTTTATGCTTGTATGTACTAAAGTTTATGTTGTTGCTGTTGAGTCGATTACTTGAATGTGAACCTATAATAAATATTGTTTATTGTCGAACCACTTAGTTTATATATATTCATGTGTGAACATTTCGAGAAGCTAAGACGGTCGTTCAATGTATTCGACTTAGGGTACACTGTTCCAGTTACTATAACCTAATCATATCCTGTAATTTAAAAAGCTATACAGACATTATCACAAACCATTATTCAATTTGCGAAAATCCAAGAGTTATTACTGATTGTTGTTAAATCTCTAGATGTGCATAGATAAAAATCCCAATGATAAGTGAAGTTCAGTTGTGTTGTATGTGAAACAATTGCCCTTTAATGGTTAGACTTTCTCCGTGTAACCCGAAAGTTCTAAGTTCAACCCATGTTAGTGTCTTGGATGCTTGTTTCTGCTAGCATGAAACTTCTGTTCAGTACTTTCTGGCTCTTAATAACTGTCTGATTACAATCACCCAGTAATGTAAACTATCAAATCTAACAATTTTCACAAGATCCCTGCAGTAATACAATTGTCCTTGTTACACAGTTTAATCTAACTAATTTTCTTTTACTAATTGTGACTTCTACTACATTACTTAACAAGTTTCATCACAAGTGTTAAGCTGCTTTGGTTTCTCGTTTCAATTGTATTTTAGTCATAAGTCTGTATTCCACCTGGTCTTGTATACTTAGTATTACAATGACCAGCATTCAGTTAGCTTTATTTATTATCAATTCTAGACATCTTGTGACCATCTCCATAATGGGTTAAAACCCCTATTAATGTATATGCTTATCTTTAAGCGTTTTAAACTTAAATATATATGATTTTGTAAATTTATTTTTCAGGTCATTTACTCAGTCGTCATCATGATCATGTTCAATTACCTCGAAGTTCTTTACCAGAAAGCGTAGTTTGGGGCATAAATCATACAGTTAACAATAATTCTTGGAGTTCTTTACATTATCCAGATAATAATCAAGTTTGGTCATCTAATGCTCAAGATCACATTCAACATAATGGTTTAAATGTTACTCCATTTGACGGAACTAGCATTTTAAATACTTCAACAACGCCACGTACTACTAATTGTGTGAATGATAATAAACCAGCCCGTTGGATTCAACCATCTACAAGACGACGTGTTAGTCAGCATAAACCACCACCACCGCATTCAGAATATGATGTAGTGCGTCATTCGTTGAATGATCCGAATGCTAATATTATCATTCGTTTGGGTAAACCTAGTATTGTGAATACTATACGCATGCAATTATGGAATCAGGATTTACGGTAAATTAGTTTCAGTTCGTCATATGTACCATATAGAGTTTTTAAAGCGATGTATAATTAAATTTTGTTGACTCTCTTTTTATTGGAATACTTTTCTCGATTAGAAAATACGTATGTGAAGTGATAATGGTGTTCATCTTAAGAACCTATCTGGTTAATGGCGTGACGAGGAGAGCTAATCTCTTGAATTGTTTTTGGTTTCCTTCAGATCAAGCTGTAATTGCAGGAATAAAGTTGATTAATTCTCCTAGACTGTCCATCCTAGTACTAACAATCTTCGGTTATACAGTGACATGACTATGATGAGATAACAACAGAGAATAAAACTTAACAACTATTGGTCCAGAATGCAGTACTCTCATACTCGATCATTCATTTTTCTATATTATAGCTTGTACTAAGATGATAGTGATGTTTGACTGTCTATTCTGAAGTAAACACATGTCCTAAAAAGACCAGCCCTCAATTTCCTAATTCATTGCCTAGTTTATAATGTAGTAGGGTTAGGGTTATTTCAAACTAACAAATTTTGTTTATTTCAGTTGGTATTTGAAATTTTTTACTTTATTAAATTTGTCCTTGTTCTGATACATAATTTCTGGTTAGCGTTTTTTAGCGAGTTAGTTTTCCACGGGGATGGGGTCGCTAACCCTATGCTCAACCCTCCTTCTTTATCCGGACTTAAGACCGGCAGTAGCCTCAGAAGGGTTCCAGGCGAAGTTTCTGATAACTACTGCAGAAGTTTTAATTGTGATGGTGTCTAAAATGTCTCCCAATACTTATTCATAACATTCGACTGATTGTAAATACTATCAGTGGTCTTGAGTGCTGTTAGAATACGCAGATGACATAGTCCTGTTTGGTGAAGACGCTGACAAAATGCAGAGTCTTCTGGTAGCACTAAGCAACAATGCCAGAATGTTTGGGATGCGCTTCTCTCCCTCTAAATGCAAGTTGTTGCTTCAGGACTGGTCTGCGTCAACACCTAAACTAAGGATAGGGAGTGAAGTAGTCAAACGCGTTGATAACTTCACTTATCTTGGAAGTCTGATCAGCCCTAATGGGTTGGTGTCTGACGAAATCTCAGCACGGATTCGAAAAGCTCGTTTGGCTTTTGCCAACTTACGTCACCTTTGGCGAAGGCGAGATATCCGTCTATCAATAAAAGGACGAGTATACTGCGCGGCAGTCCGTTCTGTTTTAATTTACGGCAGCGAAACATGGCCCTTAAGAGTAGAAGACACCCGTAAGCTACTAGTATTTGACCACAGATGCCTTAGAAATATTGCTGGCATCTGCTGGGATCACCGGGTAAGTAATAGTGAGGTTAGACACAGGGTATTAGGGAATGATGGTAAATCAGTTGATGAGGTTATGAATCTTCATCGACTGAGATGGTTGGGCCACGTATTACGTATGCCTGAACACCGATTACCACGACGTGCAATGCTAACCGGTGTAGGGGGTGGTTGGAAGAAAGTTAGACGCGGCCAAACCAAAACGTGGCATCAGTGCCTGAAGTAACTAACTTCTAGTCTGAGCCACGTTGGTAGATGCAGACTACTTGGTTGGGGTCCGCGTGACTTTCGTAACCAATGGTTTGAGACTCTTGGTGACATGGCTCAGAATCGATCACAATGGCGTCGGTGTATACACTCCCTGTCTTCCCTTAAACTAAGAGACTAAAATCACTTCATTGTTTCTGTCTACGAACTAATTCTTTCTTCCTATACTATATCCTTATTGCAACCTTTGACCTAACCACTCCTATGAATCCGCTGTTCATCTTGCTGTGCTAATGAGGTATGGCAACCTGGACCGATGCCCGGTCCTACGTTGTAGCTGACTGACTGACTGACTTAAATACTATCAGTTTCAGTAGAAGCTAAAAAGGCCTTTAGCAATTCTTAATGGCATATTTATGCCAAAATATTTTAATTTTATGCAAATGTTGATGAATCCACACAAACTATATGACAGACAGATCTTTCTAATTTTATTGATTGTTTTGTACATCTTTATACATTTTCTCCCTGTTAATTATCCATTTTTATTCATAAACATTTATGCTTGTTAGTATTCATGTATCTATATTATTTAAATAGATTAGTATCTGACCATAAACAATTGAATCACTTCTAATTCAATGGTCGACTAAATGCGGATTTGCATGTTCGTTTAATATACACTTTGCTTGTTTAAATGTTAATGGATACTTAAAATGTACTCATCGTCCATCCAATATATATATCGTATTTCGGCTTTTCGTAATCGCATTGTTATAAGCAGGATTCGAATGATTTTATTTATTTATTTATTTTAACACATAGATACTGGTACAAGGAGGCACCAAATACATATGCGCCGCATAGATCTCATTTGATATGTGTGACGGCTGTGATACTGTCCGGGTGCCCAAACCGAAGCAGGTGGTTTTCTTAGGGGGCCACACCCGGAGCCTTCACCTGAAGGTCTGATCCACAAGGCAGTGGAGCAACGTAAGAAGATGCAGTCCCATGGTAGCTAGCCGGTGACCGATAATTGGTTCATACGCCGTTTGTTCCCTCAGGGTACTGGAGCCCATGTGCACCATCAGTTTGGAATCAGGGTTTTCCAACTCCCCTAGGTGGACTCTCCGTGTCCACCAACCCGGTTAAAGCGCCGGACATTCGCTTTTTGTCCTCTCAATTTCGTAAGCAACAGTAATGCCACGAGAAAGCAGTGAGTTGGATTTCCCTGGCAGAGGCTATATACGCGTGGCCATGTGAGAGCATTTCTAGAGGGAGATCGGACTCTACCCACTCTCGGCCGTACCAGGGCATTTGGAAGTGGATTCGAATCAAGAAAATGTTTACGCAATTTCTCTTGAGATCATTTATTCTAAGCATCGAATAACAATGGAACCTAATCTAGAAGGCTACTGAAATCTCTTTAAAGATTGTCTATGATATATTACAATGGATATACTATTGATAGCATATACAGTCGACGAATAGTTTTTCAAAATATCTCATCTTAATAAGTTATCCCATTAATTTATTCTTTTTATTTTATTTTTATTTTTATTTAGTTCTTATTCATATATTATTGATGTATCATTAGATCAATCCACTTGGCATCGTATTGTTGATTATCAAAATTATATGTGTCGTTCATGGCAAACATTATATTTCCCATCACGTGTTATTCATTTTATTCGTATTACAGGGACAAGAAATACATTTAATCGAACATTTCATTTAATTACATTTAGATGTTTTTATAGCGAGAAAGTATTTCAACAAATAGATGGATTTATGGTGAATAATTTTTCATTTTTTTACGGGTTTTTTATAACATATTTAGCTTTACTATTTTATTATCTTTAAGTAATAGTATGGGGATTTGTGGAGATTGTAGTATTTTTAACGGTTGAATTCAAGAGTCAATCTAAGCTAGACCACGATCTAAAACCTGAAAGCTCTGGACGGCTTAGTCTGGGGATCCTCAGAAGTGCGCATCCGCGAATCTCGCGCGCGAGACCTGAATCCAGGACCTTCGCTTTCGTGTGTGAATGCTTAAGGTTCAGACCACTGAGCCGGTAGCATCGAATGATGTAACTAGTAACTAGCTTCAAGATGGAATTCTTAGAGTTCTAGTGAGAAGTCATGATTAATGGAGTCTAATCCTTACTAACGCCTGTTACTCCTAATGGATCATAGGCCGCTAACTAGCATTCTCCAACCCACTCTGTTCTGGGCTTTCCTTTCTAGTTCTATCCAATTTTTGTTTATTTTTCTCATGTCTGTCTCCATTTCTCAACTTAATGTGTTATTTGGTCTTCCTCTTTTCCTTTGGCCTTGAGGATTCAATGTAAGGGCTTGCCTAATCTAATCCTTACTAATAATGAAATAAATGTCACAAACATTTAACGATTTAGTAGGTGTCTGTCTGGACTCAGTAACTCAGTAGGTAATTCATTTCGTTTTGAACTGAAAGGCACTAAACTCGTATCCTAATATGAATATCGACACTGGGATGGAGGTACATTCAGCCAATGAATCCCAAATAAGACGAGAAGCGCATCTTGGATTTCATCGCCAGTAACATCTATTCTGTCAAACATTTTGATGTAGATTTTGACCAAAGCATTTTCTCTTGGCACCGGAAGGATTTTACCACTGATGATTTCCTACCAAATATCTCGGATTCTACCTCCTATTGCGGAGTCCTGGATGCGCACTGCTGCTGAGTCCAATACTAAGACTAAACGGCCATCCGGTGCTTCCATGCTTTTGATAGCTGTCTTAGATCGGTTCGTAATTTTAATCAAAGTCAACACTCTACAACCATATACTGATATATCTAGTATCATAATCAATAATATGCTAAGTTATATTTGCATTGTCCCTCTCCTCTAGGTTCCTACATTTAATGTTGCAAATGTCGATCATGGTGCTACTGTTCTAGAAGGTGTCAGCCGAAACAGGAATGCACTAATTGACGGTAATATTCGAATGTACGATTGGAATTCTGGTTATACATGTCATCAATTAGGCAATGGTGCTATAGTAGTTCAATTAGCTCAGCCATTCTTATTACGTTCAATGAGGTATATTTAACTTGTAAACTCTCTGTTGTCATGTTTGTTTGAAATTTTTTTCTTGCTCAATATTTATTGTCTTGAATCGTTCATGTCACTGTGTTATAAGATTTTACTCGTTTTATTATTTAAACTTAAACCAACTTGAAAGTTAGTCATTGTTTCAAGAAGCAACTTACATGACGTCACAAAATGCTGGATAGTTCATTTCTATTCATATTGGTTTATTACACATAGTAAATGACTATGGGTTATGTTTTTTCTGATGTCATTCTTCAGCAAAGATATGAAAGCCTGCTAGTATTCAAGATAATTCAGAAGATACGGTATCATCCCATCGAGTCATTGACTATGTTGAAATTAGGTAGTGGTTGGAGGTGGTCAACAAGAAACCCTGAACCTAGGTTTCGTGCTACTTGGCACTCGTCATGAGGGTGTACCTGTATTCTTGAGAGAGCTCATACTCCCTGACTGATTCGATCCTGTGTCACCCAGCTTCACAGTCAGAGATGTTACCACTGAGATACTCGGGCCGCGACTGACTTCCCGTAGGACTGAAATGTATTTACAATTGGTTGATCACTGAGTCCAGGGTTTCCTGTTGACTCCGTCCAACCACTATCTGATTTCAACATAGTGCACGCAATGTTGAGTCACTTAGATTGGTGGCCACATTGCAACTTAGTCGATAGGATTCGATTTGCACTAAGAAGGACCTGACATACATGACATTGATCACTACCCAGTGATCAATCAATTGTAGTTACTGACTGTTGGACTGTGAGCCATATAGATTGGTGAAGGCTACCTGGTTCGTATCCAGGGAACCACTGCACTCCACACCAAGACTATTACAAGTAAAGATTTATTGACCTAAAAACACAACGATGACCCTTGTCGAAAATACACTCATTATATATTGATTGTACACCTATTTTAATTATTAATTAGAATGAAATCACACAAATGAAAAATAACTAGAGTTATAACAAACCACATACTGCGTGTCATGCTGAGTATAGTTCATGTTAATCTAATATAAGAATATTGTATCTTTAATAAATAGCACATTCAAAGAAATTAATATTATACCGAATAAGATATCACGATGGGAAACAAAACAAATATTACACTGAATAGCAACTTCACTTATCTTGGAAGTCTAATCTGCCCTAATGTGGCAGACCCTACGTTGTATATGACTAACTGACTGGTCTCCAATAGTTCTACATAAACCCACACGCCTAAGGATAATGATCACTCGCTTCATGGACTGAATTAAATTCTTGGTTTCGCTCAAATCATCATTCTTTCAGTTTGCACCAGGGTTGCGCTTTGGGATAGGAGATTTCCTCCCTCAACCAGCTCAGGTTCAGCTTCCACTCTCAAGTAAAGAAGCATAACTAGAGTCAGATTAGACGGCGAAAATAAAGTATAGTTTAATTATTGTATTTAAGTGTAAATCTGTTTCCTTTTATCTTATTTTTCTTCTGCATAGATTTTTGCTATGGGATTTAGATTCACGTACATATTCTTATTCTGTGTATATATCAAATGACCGTGTCGATTGGAAACTTATACGTGATGCTTCTACAGAGCCATGTCGTTCTTGGCAGATAATTAAATTCCCGTTGCAGTTAGTAACATTCATTCGTGTTGTTGGCTCATACAACACAGCTAATGATGTATGTTGTTCACTCTTAATTGCTTGATTATTACATTGTCTGATTTTCGATTCTTCAATGTTATATTCAAGTTTTCGGACGTAAAGTACCTTAATTTCACAATGAAACTGATCAATTAATTTTCTGACAATGTGTCATATCTTAACACTGACCAATACACGTAGACTACCTTAGGCAGCTAATACTCAACAAGCACTAGAAAACTAGTACTTTATGCTTGACTTTTGGCCCGTTGACTAACTAACCCAAATAAACAGAAAGGACATAAGGTCAAGGATCACCAGTCAAGCATTCATTTATATACATGCATGACCAGATCATTCAGCAGACCAACTAAGTAAAAGTATTAACACGGAAAAACGGAGTATTGTATACACAGAATCAGTTCTAGTTTATGAGTAGAAAATGGCATGGCAACAATTTACCGTTCAAATAAAAGCTTAGAACTAGGGCGGTATGAAAACAATTAAATCAAAATACTTAAAAAATCTTGTGATTAATATACATATATAATATTGCAAACATATCTTTGGAAGTTTCTACTTCATAGTTAAGTCGTCTCTCATAAGACAATAAAATTAATTGGTCACTTGAACCTACACCTTTGTCATACAAATGAAAGCTTGTCAATAAGTGATATAAATAATTAAATACGTTAGCAATGCAACTATTATATTCAATGCCATTCCATAAGGTTTGCGAAGCTATTTAGTAACTATATAACCACGGGTTTAGTGTTCAATGGTATAGGAGTAGGTTGGAAGAAAGCTAGAAGCGGCCAGACCAAAACATGGCACAAGTCCATGAAGTCACTGACAAGTGGGCTGAGCCATGTTGGTAGGTGTAGACTACCTGGTTGGGGACCGCGAGATGATAGCAACCGATGGTTGAAGACCCTGAATGGCATGGCTGAAAATCGTTTGCAATGGCGCAGGCGCATACACTTTTTGTGTTCTCCCAAATTGTAATCTCCTAATTCCTCCTTGTCTCTTTTTTTCTCTTTTCAAATTTATTCACTGGGTTATACTCTTTAAATAACATCTCCAAACCCTAATCTTTCCGATTACTGCTTATACTCTTACCACCTCTACCACTAACGGGATTTGAATCGACAACTGCATCTCTGTGCTGATATGGTATGGCAACTCGAACTGATGTACATTCGTACGAAGTTCTACGTTGTTACTGACTGAGTTTGATGTACGCGTTTGTTCATAATTAATAAGTATTTTATTTAGAAAATTTGTCCAATAATACGTGAGCAGAGGTTTTAAAATCTTATTTTTACTAACTTGAAGAAACACCAATCTTAAGTCCTTTATTGTACTTCTCATTTGTGCCAATCAAGTGATTTCATTTCTTTCTTTCAAAATGCCATTAGAAGCCTTCAGACTTCTGAGCTGCTTGATCGTTTTACGTCTTATCGACTCTGTTTGACCGTTTTGTACTTCAAGAACAAAATCAAATCTCGGTTATCTAAGTCTGAAGGCTTACGTATAATCCTAGCGTTATATTCTTTTTAGAGACTAGGAATTCGCAGGAAAGCATCGCTAAGTATGCAGACACATTGTTGTGTATGTACTGGGCAGATTAATCTATTATTTGAGCAAAACTAAAACTACGCAGTACGTATAATATATTTGGTTTTCATAACAAGTTACCATCGGTTGATGCGAACCATCGAAAACCAGTGAGTTCTGAACGCAAACTGCTTCATTTCAGGCTGAGATATTCCTCAATACTCTACACCTTATCCTAGGTTTAGAACCTTAATGTTTTGATGTTTTAATAAGCACAACACTTATCTTCCACACAGTTTAATGGTCTATATTTTACAGCTTCAACCAGTTAAAGGTATTATGCCATCACCATCTTCCAATGTTATTCGTGAGAATAATGTTCCATTATTATCAATTATGTCTTCACAGAACTATTTTAATTGTGAATTAACTTAAATTACACTAATCTAAATGAATTAATCAAAATATTGTTATTTCATTGCATCAAAATGTTAAGAATTCTTGAAGTAAAATAACGATTATGATTGCAATTTCACAAAGGAACTTAGTTTAAGATTTCCATAAGTATGAATTAAATGCTATATCGTGTAAACGGTGTTCAGTTACGGTAATACCAACATCGACAAAGATAATATTTTATAATATCATAATATCCGTATAATATAATTGTCCTGTAAATGACTTTAGTAATCTTAGTTCAATAAGTATCATGAAATTCGTTCTGTTTCACTTTACGGTTGCGAAACATGACCATTAAGAGTAGAAGATACTCGTAAGCTACTAGTATTTGGCCACAAATGCCTTACAAATATTGCTGGCGTCTGTTGGGATCACCGGGTAAGTAATAATGAGGTTAGACACAGGGTATTAGGAAATGATGGTAAATCAGTTAATGAGGTTGTAAATCTCAATCGACTGAGATGGTTAGGCCACGTGTTACATATGCTTAAACACCGATTACCACAACGCACAATGCTGATTTGTATTGTAGACGGTTGTAAGAAAGTTAGGGGGGCGGGCAAACGAAAACGTGGCATCTGCTTGAAGTGACTAACTTATGGTTTGATCCTTGTTGGTAGAAACAGACGACTTGGTTGGGGTCCGCGTGACTATCGTAACCAGTGGTTATAGACTATGTGTGATATGGCTCAGAATGGATCACAATGGCGTAGGTGTATACACTTTTTCTCCTCTTAAACTATGAGATTAAAAGTATTTCATATGTTTCTTTCTACGAAGTAATTCTTTCTTTCTGTACAATACCCTTACTTAAAATCTTTCCTTTATAAATTTCACCATTGAGTTAACTGCTTCTGTGAATCGGGTGTTCATCTTGCTGTGCTAATGATAATGAGGTGTGGCACCTTGAACCGATGCATATGTGTCCCTGATCCTACGTTGTAGCTGGCTGACTGACTGAAGTATTATGAATACTTTAGTTTAAATTGAGTAACTAATAAAAGTGACTAACAACTAATCTGCCTCCTGGAATTTATGAAACAGGCAGTGTTTCATGCAATCAGCGTTGATTAACGGGTTCTAAAAACAGCTAGAACGATGGTCGATCAGGCGTTGCGTTTTTGGTTGGATCGTCACACTACCGTTACTATATTTATTGGTTTTCCAAAAAGTCTTAAAAGACCAAGTTCATATGAAACTGTCAACCCATTCGATCTTCTATACATCAACTAACCTTGGAATAGAGTTCTTCATATTTCGCGCTTTTTCTGTACTGTTCGAGTTGATGTTTATGTCGGAGGAGTTCTAAAAATATCTCTCATCAAGTCTCCAGGGGGCCTAGAAGCTCCAGGAAACTTGATTCTTCGCAGGAACATTTTGAAAATACAGAATCACGTGCCGCGGTTTTGCTAGGGTATTTACCTATACTTCTACTATATGTACTATGGTTCCAAAAGTCCAAGGTCATGTTACGTATTTAAGGTCGGGTGTGTTGCTATTTGGAGATATCGGGACTGGTAGGAAGACAGTTTAAGCATGTAGATAGCAAGATGTATTACTTTAGAAGTAGCTTGGTGTTTGTAATAGGTTTGTAATAGCAGACTTATCAATAGGCTAATGCGAAACCTTGATAAAGTAATAATCGGAACTCTATCTAATTATCTTTTCAGGTTATATTGACACTTTATTCTTATTTTTTATTTATAGGTGTTTCATTTGGTCCACTTAGAATGTCCCTATCCTCCAGCACAGACAACAGAGGATATTGTTGAGGCAAATTTTGTAAAAATATCAAATCCACCACCCATGAATACAACAATAGATCGTAGTAATAATCAAGAAATTGTAACACATTCAACTCCTACAACAGTAGTAGTAGTAGTAACTCAACCTAATAGTACAAATGATAGTAGTAATCATATGAATGAATCTCATTCAATCATAAATTCAAATGATTCATCAATTATTAATACTATAACATCATCAGAGCATTTATTACTTAATTCTTCTGGTAATATTAGACCTATATCAAATATTCCTAATACTTCGAATGATCAATTAAATGATGAAACTATATCATTAAATAATAATAATAATAATGATCGATCATTACTTTCAACCAATATGACCATTATTCATACAGATTATGATCTATTACCCGATCTATCACATCATTCATTTCATCCTACATGAATAAGATGTTCGTCGTTTACATTCATTGATAGTTATTCATTTCTATTTGAAACTATTATACACCCCTAATCATACCATGACATGAGAATATGTATGTAGATTATATTGTTATATATCATTTCTTATATGGTTAGTTTTTCTATATACACTCAATTCATCTTAACATAAATCTATATTTTACTGTGATCTTGTTCTGGGTTTTTTTTTCATTTATTTCATACTCAAAATAACATTTGAGTATTTTTCTCATTTCAATAAGAAAAGATTTAACCTTTATTTATTTTACCTTAGATATATGACTGTTATCATTTATATTATTCATTATGTAACCCTTCATATACATGTCATATTCCCATTGTTGATTGGATTTTTGTTTTATTCTCATATTAAACTGTTATCCTGTGCTTCCAGGTTTTCCATAGTGGTCTAACTTCAATGGACTTATGATCGGAACTATTGAAATTACTATAATATCCGCACAAAATATCCCCTTGTGATATTAATCAACATACATTCTCAGTAGTGACTGGTTTCAGGAGGTATATCCTAGAGTTCTAATGAGAAGTAGTGACCAGTGGAGTTCGACCTGGTTTATTTTGAGATAGTAACTCACTGATGACAATTGTGGATGTGTTGCTCAATTTCGTGGATTAGTTGAAGTTAGACATCAACACCGTTGAATGCCGGCCGGCTCAGTGGTCTAGAGGTTAGGCGTTCGCACGCGAGACAGGCAGGTCCTGGGTTCGAATCCCGAGGGAGGCGTTATCGTGAATGCGTACTGTTGAGGAGTCCCACAATAGGACGAAATGACCATCCAGGTTTTTCATGGTGGTCTAGCTTCAATTGACTCCTGATCTCAACTATTAAACTTGATTTTTATTGGTTATTTAGATCTTCCCATTGATGTTGAAGACTGCAATATTGATTAATCTTTTTTTGACATCTAATTGACGAGCCCCAAATAGGATGAAATGAGCGTTCTCGATTGTACTATTAGCTATCATCCGTCTCTGCTTACAATAATAATATTGTCTGATAATTAGTATGGGGAAAAAACACCATTTTATTACACGTAAATTCATGTTGATACAAAACACTATGTAATAATAACCAATATAAGTGTACATTATTTGAAAGAATGTAATTTGATGAATTTAGACAAAATTTTGATAGAAATGTGAAATGAGGAAAGTCGTAGAAGTATAGATAAGTTTGAGTGAAGTCACTATGTAGTACAACTTTAGTGGCACTTTTATCACAAAAATAGATTGAAGTTAAGTATTGACACTGTCGAATACCAAGTCAGTGGTCTAGAATTTAAGCATTCATTTGATCCCAGCGTGGGCACTGCTGGGTAGCTCCACACGCGGACGAAATGGCCGTACAGTGTCTCCCGGTTTTTACTGTTTGTCTAACTGTCATTTCGCGATATAAACTGGAAATTTTCTGATGACAAAACCATTTTTTGACAAAGGTAGATTAAGCAATCATAAAGTTGGCAAAAGTATACAAAAAACTTATGGCATTTACAAAATAATAAATCATTAAATTTGTTTTGGTACGGAAAACACTACGTATAAACCATGGAACAGTCTAGGTGCTATAACCTTCAGTTTGTTTATTCGAGTCATAATCTTTGATATAATGAATATTAATTAGAGTTCTCGGAGAGTAACGGTACCAAGTGATAACACCTTCACCTACTTCTCTTCTTATTTATATACTAATGTGAGGGGAACAAAGACGTCCAGTTCTGAAACTAAGCTGGCAGATACGGAAGGTACGCCTGAGAGAGTTGCAGTCTACTTGCGTCATACAAATAGTGTGCACAACTCGCATGCTGAACGGTAGAATGGTGCGCAAAGCTATCCTAAACAACACCTGGGATGGTACTCTGTCTTCTGATTTCGCTCCTCTGCCTGATGGAATCGACATCTAGGTCAAAGTATCGAGAATCGGTTTACTAGGGAAACCGTCTACTTTTGCATAGGAGTTTGGGCGGTATCCCAGCTCACACAAGAATTTGATAATAAGTAAAATATTCTGTTTGGTTACCGTCCATTTAGTTCTGAAGTCACCATCATAAATGGATTCAATTTACATTGCTTCATTTTCCTATGCCCTTTTCTTATCATTTTCTTAAATTTACTCAACAGCTCATCTCAGTTGAAAGTGATGCGTCGTCTAGACGGTACAAAGTTGCTAAATTTTCAATTTTATAACTGTTGCCAAATATGAAGTCTGATACAACTTCTCTGAAGCTACGTATGCTACTTAAACTCCTTCGATGTTCTCATTCTAATCCAGGTCGGATAATACAGTTTCTGCAATATACACAGAAACTATATATTGGAGTACGATGTCTAGTTGATACAAATATAGCAGACTAATCAAGTACTATGGATTTGTTCTCCAGTTGTCTATTCAGAAAATTTTATTTCATGTACGCTTTTCCCGGTACTTTTTAGTATTGGCGTCTGGTTTCTCTAATGTTAGTGTCGCATAGAAGTGCGGTAGTATCGTTAGTCGATACTATCCCAAATCAGCAGTAATCTGTGTGCAATATAATCTTCTAAGACTTAATCTTACCAGTTATTGATTATTGGTCAAATCTATAAGACCGTGTTGCACTGTCACTCAGATTGTACATTCCAAAATCAAAGTAATTAGCAAATAGCTTGATTTGTTTACAGAAAACACTATTCAAATCAAATATTTACTTAAAATCAATTACAGTTGTGTTTTTTTCATGTAGAAAGTAGTTTCGATTTCATCTTCAAAGTCATTTCATTTCTTTTACTATTAATGTTCTCAAATGAACCAGTCAACATTTTCGTCATCACTTGAACAGTCTTCGTTATATGAATCATCCTGGTCATCGAATGGTATTATTTCAGGAAACCGATAGATTTTAGAATTCTAAAAATAAACCATAAACAAATAATGTATCATTTAGAACTATGTTGTAATGAATTGATCAAGTTATTGCTATGTCGTATGGTAGACTACATTCTGTAGGTTATTATACATTAATTTATAGTATACATTTTTGTGTATCATTATTGAATGAACGTTGAAAAGGCTTTTTGTCTTTTATCCTTATTAAATGGGATTTGATCAGTCATTGTTGGAGTGTTTGTGTATCTTGTGTAGATTATGGAATCGATGGATAAAGCGCCTGGCCTTCATTCTCATGCTATCAACAATTCATCTATTTTACAAAAAAAGGTATGACAAAGTAGCTATATCGAAGCAACACGATTAGAATGTACATAAGTCAACGTGAACTGTGCATAGTTCAATCCTGATTATCAACAACATGAAAAATCACAGCATTGCTAATAACGACATAAATGTCATACTCATTGAATGAGTGCGTGTCTGTTTGGACTCATTAACTTAGTGGTTAACTTATTGGACTTTCTAAGATACAGATATCTGGTTCGTGTCCCGATGTGAACATTGACATTGAGATTCAGGTACATCCAGCAGATGAGTTCAAGTCCTGGATTCGAATATCATAACTCACCTACTTTTACTTTGTTTTTGTTCTGTTGAAATTAATTGTTAGGGATGCTGAGGAATATACCAATCATTATCATGTTAAGTCTAATGATGTCCTTGGACTCTAGATGGGCATTCCCTATTGGCCATTATTTATTTCACTCGTTAAATATTGTACAGATGTTGTTTTCTATTTTTATGGTACGATGTGGTCTGTTTGGTTGGTATGTAAACAGAGTATGTTTGAAATACAACGATTCATAACTCAGAGGCTGTGACTTGCGTTCTAGACTCAACTGGCTGGGGTAGACAGGGAAGCGGGACCAATCGGGACTTTAGATCGTCCTTACGTGTCACTGGTTCGATCGATAAATACGCTGCGCATCTAACCGTGCAATCAACCCGTTACAACATTAATACTTTAGAATTTCATTTTTATCATCATTTTCTGTCTTTTGTGTTATCATATTGCACTATAGTTGAGACAATCTACTGAATAGTATCAGGGTAATACTTCTTCATTTATCGGACTGAATTTTCCTGCAAACATGTTAGAATTCATAAAAGTCGTTCCTTATCTGGAGCTTTACAGTAATTTATAAGCCATGTACACAAAACTTTGTCATATTTTAAACTTATCTTTATATATCAAAGCTTAAATAGCTGCTTTATAGTATGTAGTATAAACTTAAGAATACTTACACATCAATGTTAAATACATCATCTGTTAATCGTAATATAAATGTTGAAACTACGATTTTGTGATTGAAATACATAATTCGTTATCTTGGTGAGACTATAAATTATGGACAACCTTAGAGTGACGCTAGAGTGACCTTGAAAGTGTCCACCTAATAACTAGGACTAAATGAAGGTTAGAAACCGATGTGAGGAATCGGGATTATGACTTGAAGTTGATGGTTAATGTTAGAAATTTGATTTGAGGTTTTCATCATGAACTGACATCAGCTGAAATGCTTAAACTCTATTTAACCAAATGGATGAGTGAATTTCGCGCCGAAATGCGAGACCTGTTATCCTATACCTGATTGATTTGTCCATCAATTATAGTCTGGCCGTTATTTTGTATGTTATTTACTCTTTAGTATATTCTCTTCATTTAATAATTCTAATTCTGTTCAAAACTAATTTCTGAGAATTCAAAGTGTTTAGCTTAAAGGATGTCGAAGATGATAGAATAAGTTGAGACCAATTTTGATTGAGGTTGTCATTAGTTATAGAAGCAAACTGATCTATAAGAAGTAAGGAAACGTTGTTTGATCGGATAATGATTTCGGTTGTTTCTGGGTCTCTACTATTAACCATTCACATCAGTTTAAGTAACTATTAAAGAACTTGTGTACTTAGCTATGAGCTAGATATTTTGGGCCAGAGATATTTATTATTTGGTTACCCAGACTAACGAATACACAAATGAGTTTGAGCTTACAACCTGGTGATTAAAAGTTTAGTATGTCAACCACTCAGCAATCGCCTTAGAACAAATTTATCATCCATCAAACTGAACGGTTTCTATGTTAGACGTGAGATCACTGAACGTTGAGTAGATTACTGTATATCTCCAAAGTAAATAATGATTAATACAGACTAATCAATCGCACTCCATGAATTAACCGATGCGGCAGGGGTTTTGTTTTGTACTTCCATAACCAGTCGTTTTGGTAAGATTATTCATTCTAGCCAGACATCAATTAAGTAAATTCATTCCAGTATAACTGGAATAGACTAACTATCCACTCAAATTACCTGCATCGTTAATCTACAATGCTTGTTTCATATTTCATTTATTAGGGGTAGTTTATAATATCATTTTATATTTGATTATACATTACCTTTATACGAGTTCCACTTGAACTGTTACAATGCATTTCAATAGGTGCATTTTCATAAAATCTCTTCAGTTGATCTACATTCTTTTGTTTCCATGTAATATTATTTACTCTATTCACTAAACT